CATGCTTGAGCCCTCTAATCTCCTGTTTGAGACTCATCACTTCAGCCGCCAATGATTCAACTTGGCGGGTTCGAGCAAATAGGCGTTGGGCCATATTAGACACAGAACCTGCACACTGAACACTGAGAGCCAGCGAATCCTTAACAGCTAACTCATCAGACCGTTTGGAAAGTAGTCTGTTATCTTTGGGAGTGAGAAGGTTCCTGGCCACCACCGCAGCGGTCATATCATTCTTCATCATCACGGAATCCCCAACGGTAAGAGGACCAGTAGGGGAGACGAAGGATGGGCGCCATATGTTGTCTGGAGAAGGCGGGGCTGCCTCTTCAACAAGGTTCAAGTCAAAACGACGGTCGGAGGGGCCAGACATTTTCAAAGGTGTTGAAAGAGAGAAGAGGTCGGACAAATCAAGATCTTAGAAGTGCAAGAATGAAGCTTCTACTGGTGGAGATTCAAGTGTGCTTTGGAACTTAATGCCAGCCCCTATAAAAATCTGCACTCGACGAAGCTTCAGAAATCGAAGAGGCGCCTGCTCAGAAATCGAAGAGGCGTTTGCTTTCTCAAAAGCTGGGCTGCTTAGAGATCACGAGGGTTGATCTCAGAAATCGAAGAGGCGTTTGCTTTCTCAAAAGTTGGGCTGCTCAAAGACCACGAAGGCCGATCTCAAAAATCGAAGAGGCGCTCGCTTTCTCAAAAGCTGGGCTCCCCAGAGACCACGAGGGTCGATATCAGAAATCGAAGAGGCACCTACTTTTCCAGCCTTTTCCAGCCTTGTCAGCACCTGTCACACGCACACTCAGTTTTGCGGAAATTATGGGCATTCTGTCAAAGACTTCTGGGGAAGTAGAAAACACATGAATCTTACTGTTCAATCACCCACTTCCCACACGCAACAATAGCTCATGGGTACCACAGATAACTTTGCCAAAGTTCTCTGCCAAAGTTGAGCACGTGAAGCTTACAGCTCCCACTACATCGCTCTGACCAAGAAGGGTAAAAGAATAGCAAAGAAACAGCACTAACAAAGTTTTAGACCCATAAATTTTGAAGGTCTAGCTACCATATTATTACCCACAAGGGTAAAGGAACAGTACCACTGCTGGATAATTGGAAAGTCCCTGTGTGTCAACCTCTGTGCTTCGTGGCAAGGTAGACTAGCAAACATGCCCAACCTTTACTCACATTCGAGAAAACACTCCCAATAAGATTGCTTGCTCCAAAATCGAAGAGGCACCGTCCTCCGAATCTCGAGAGCCAGACTCCCAACATGACTACTTTCTTAAAAATCGAAGAGAGGGTAAAAGAACAGTACCATTGCTGGATAATTGGAAAGTTCCTGTGTGTCAACCTCTGTGCTTCGTGGCAAGGTAGACTAGCAAACATGCCCAACCTTTACTCACATTCGAGAAAACACTCCCAACAAGATTGCTTGCTCCAAAATCGAAGAGGCACCGCCCTCCGAATCTCGAGAGCCAGACTCCCAACATGATTACTTTCTCAAAAATCGAAGAGAGACACTGCTCCCCGAATCTCGAGAGCCAGACCCCCAGCATGATTGCTTTCTCTCAAAAATCGATGAGGCATCGTTCTCCGAATCAATCGAAGAGGCGCTCGCTTTCTCAAAAGCTGGGCTGCTCAGAGACCACGAGGGCCGATCTCAGAAATCGAAGAGGCACCTACTTTTCTAGCCTTGTCAACACCTGTCACACGCACACACTCAGCTTTGCAGAAATTATGGGCATTCTGTCGAAGACTTCTGGTGAAGTAGAAAGCACATGAATCTTACTGTTCAATCACCCACTTCCCACACGCAACAATAGCTCATGGGTACCACAAATAACTTTGCCAAAGTTCTCTGCCAAAGTTGAGCACGTGAAGCTTGCAGCTCCCACTACATCGCTCTGACCAAGAAAGGTAAAAGAATAGCAAAGAAACAGCACTAACAAAAGTTTAGACACATAAATTTTGAAGGTCTTAGCTACCATATTATTACCCACAACTGTAAAGGAAACAGTACCACTGCTGGATAATTGGAAAGTCCCTGTGTGTCAACCTCTGTGCTTCGTGGCAAGGTAGACTAAACATGCCCAACCTTTACTCACATTCGAGAAAGGATTGCTTGCTCCAAATCGAAGAGGCACTCCTCCGAATCTCGAGAGCCAGACTCCCAACATGACTACTTTCTCAAAATCGAAGAGAGGGTACAAAAGGACCAGTACAGTAACCATGTGCTGGATAATTGGAAAGTCCCCTGTGTGTCAACCTTGTGCTTCGTGGCAAGCGGAAGACTAGCAAACAGATATGCCCAACCCTATACTCACCTTCGAAGACAACACTCCCAACAAGATTGCTTGCTCTCAAAATCGAAGAGGCACCACCCTCCGAATCTCGAGAGCCCAGACTCCCAACATGAATTACTTTCCTCAAAAATCGAAGAGACACTGTCTCCGAATCTCGAGAGTCATACCCCAGCATGATTGCTTTCTCAAAAATCGAAGAGGCCATCGTTCTCTCCGAATCTCGAGAGCCAGATACCACAGACCACTTTTTCAAAGTGCTCTGACAGAGTTAAAACATGTGAAACTGGCAGCTCCCACTACCGTGCTATGACCAAGCAGGGTAAAGGAATAGCATTACTACTTGTTGTTAGGGAGACTCCTATATATGTTCGACCTCCCCCCCCCAACGGACAGGCAGACCTGCAAAAATGCTCAACCCTTCATCATATCTGAGAGGACACTCCCAACGAAGCCTTTCGAAATATTCAGCTTTCTTTCCCCCGATAATACCTCTGCAAACAAGCTATACTAGAGCAAGAATATCTCATATCATCAGGGTTAAAAGCAAGAGTATCCCATATCATGCTTTTTTCCTGTCTTTTCTTTTGGCCTTGTTTTACACCTGCAAGAACAAGGAGAAAGAGAGCATCATCAGTCAGCACTTGGAATCAAGCTTCCATCCAGGAACTGACTGCCTGGAACCCCTTACCTGATTACTTACCTGGGCATTGCTCTCGTAGTACTCATTTCTTCAACATCTTATGTTTCCAGGGAAGATTCCGCATCTGCTTGAGGAACAGATAGGGCAAGTGCGAAGGATACAAGGAAGCATGTGGAGACAAAGCGTAACAGCACACGTGCCGATACATTCATTACTCTGTCAAAAGCAAAAGTATCCCATAAGCAGCAGGGTGGAACGTACTCTAAGATTTGATGGACTTGTTTTGACCCTCTCAAAATCTTCAGTCGGCCTTATACTGGTCTGGAGGAAACCAGAAGACTTGAAAACCCTCCAGCTCAGTTCAAGAATAAGCCTGTGGAAAGTTACTTCTTCAAAAGCAAAAAGTCTCATCCTCATATCACATCTCTATTCTCATCTTCTCTTTATCCTTCATGCTGCTGCAAGATGGGGGGGCAACATTGGTCGAGGTGTCAATCTGCAATCAGTCGGAGCTCTGATTGTGCTTACCTGTCTGTCAACTTCTTTCAGAAGCACCCCCTAGCTCGGCGACTTGGGGGACTCTCTACATGGTTTGTATCGCGCTTGACCAAGCCTGAAACTACAAGTACTAAGCTTCAAGTGAAATTGATACATGTTACCTTGGATGTGCATCTCCACCAGTTAAAGATACCACCCTGGATGGAGGAAAGAGTACTTCTAGAGAAGATTCCACCACATCTACCTATGAGACAGATAAGGCAAGTCAAGACGAAACACCACACTCCTACTTAGAAGTTCGATGATTACGACGAATCATCTCTCACCACAATTTTCCTAATGTCATTTGACTAAACTAAATTCATGTACTCATGAGACTACTCACTACAATGCTTGAGCTTGAAAACCTAACTTGTGTAAACTCCTCACAATTAATGAGAAGAATGGACGTGAACTGGTAGCCAATCTGGGTGAACCACGTACATCTTGTGTTTGCTTTCCTATCTCTATCCATTTATATACTTATCCACACTAATGACCGGAGCAATCTAGCGAAGATCACAAAAAAGCGATCGTTTTCGCTACCTAGGATCTATCTTGCAAGAGAACGGAGAATTAGATGGAGATCTCAACCATAGAATACGAGCTGGATGGAAAGAGTGCATCCGGCGTGTTGTGTGACCGTCGTAGGCCACTGAAGCTCAAGGGAAAATTTTTATAGGACGGCAATAAGGCTAGCGATGTTGTATGGCACAGAATGTTGGGTGGTGAAGCATCAACACGTACACAAAATGGGTGTAGCGGAGATGAGGATGCTTCGTGGGATGTGTGGGCACACGAGAAAGGATAAGATTGGGAATGAGGATATCCGAGGTAAAGTAGGAGTAGCCGAAATTGTAGGAAAGATGAGAGAAAATCGGCTCCGGTGATTTTGAACATGTGCAAAGAAGGCCGACTGACGCTCCGGTTCGAAGATGTGACTACGGGACAGAGGTTCAGGGCCGAAGGGGTAGAGGAAGACCTAGGACAACTTTGGAAGAGACTCTAAGAAAAGACTTAGAGTACTTGGATCTAACGGAGGACATGACACAAAACCAAGCGCAATGGCGTTCTAGGATTCATATAGCCGACCCCACTTAGTGGGAAAAGGCTTTGTTGTTGTTGTTGTTGTTCATCGATCGTAAACCATGGCTCATGTGAGAGCAGCTCAAGGAACTTCATCTGATTCCAACACTCGTCCGGTACGATGTTTTCCTGAGTTTCAGAGGCAAAGACACTCGCAGGACTTTTACTGACCATCTCTACACAGCCTTGAAGAACGCAGGATTTTTCACGTTCCGAGATGATGACGAACTTAAGAGAGGGGAATATATCAAGCCAGGACTACAGAAAGCAATCCGGCAGTCACAAACGTCTGTTGTCGTGTTTTCAAAAGATTATGCGTCATCCAGATGGTGCCTTGATGAGCTTGTCATGATCCTTGAACGTAAAAGGACTACCTCAGACCATGTAGTATCACCGGTCTTCCACGGTGTCGAGCCATCCCATGTGGGGAAGCAGATGCGAAGCATTGGGAACGCATTTGCTAGACACGAGAAAACTCAGTCGAATAAGGTGAAGGGATGGAGGAAGGCACTTGCAGAGGTTGCTGATCTAGCAGGGATGGTCTTTTCAAATGAAGCTAATGGGTAACTTTCATTTGTTCTCTTTTATATTTCTAGTGTTAATATTGGAAGGGTAATTTCTTTTCCTGAAAATTTGACATTACCTCTTGAAATTATATTTTTCTTAACTAAAACTCATCTCCGTTTGTTTTCTTAACTAAAGCACATTGATTAGGTTCCAACTAAACAATTTCTTTAACTAAGTTTAACTTTTCAAATTGTGTATTTTTTGAATGCCTAAACTACCCCTATTAATACTTGGATTGGATTTTTAGATCATTTACTTGTTTGTTATAATCATGGTCCGAAATGCCGATAATATCGGCGATATATCGCCGATATTATCGGTTTTGAGGAGTACCGATTTTTTTTTCTATATCCAACTGGTTTTCGGGATAATATCGCGATATTATCGAATTTATCGATAATATCGGTGGCTGACTTCTCGGAGAAGAACGCCGGAGCTGTAGTAGAAGCTCCGGCCGACTGTAAAACAGACCCTAGACTCCGATCCGATCTAGGTATGAAAATGAAAAAAACAAGACGAGATGAACATTTGTATATATGAAATTTGCCGTGAAACCATCGGAGGTGTTCGGAAATTGAGTCGACACGCACGGCCTCGCCGGAGTTCGCCGAGTTGCAGAGATGAGAAGAAGAGGGAGAAAGACGATGCTGATGATATGGGGTGTGCATGTGTGTATGGTGGTCTTGGACCATCGCGTAGAGAGAAAGGGAGAGGAGAGCGACGGATGGCCGGGGTGACGAGGAGAGAACAGAAGCCGATCTGCCGATGTGATTGCGGGTCTCTGCTGCGTGATGTGTGGGAGTGGGAGAAGACGATGGTGATGGACGGGTGCGCATGTGTGTAATGTGGCTTTGGACCATCGGCGCAGAGCTCAGAACGAGAAAAACTGACGTGTTGCTGGGATGCTGGGCGTGTGGATGTGGAGCCGATCGATGCTGTGTGCGTGTCTGTGTGCTGCCCTACTCTTGACGAAAGACTCACTTGGGAGCTGAGAGCGCGAGAGTCGAGAGTACGTCTGTGGGCGGTCGATGAGTGAAGGGACGAGATCCTTGGGCGGTGTCCGTCAGTGTGTGTGTGGGGGAGAAGGATCGAGAGACGTACGTGGGTGGGATTGGGGAGATCTGTGCCTTGTTATTGGTTGTGTCGGCGGAGAACGGAGAAGGGGGAGAAGGGGACTCAGAGAACGAGGACGTGAGAAGGTGCGAGAGTATTGAGAGAACGGCTATATGTGAGAGGTCGAGTGCTGCGTGTGTGTGTGAGGAGCGAGATGGAAGTAGGTCATTCTGTTGCCTGACTGTATTAATAATGGCAAGGAGAGCCATCGGTCGAAGCTAGGTGTACAAGAGTGTAAGATCTCTCACAGCATTATCAAGTGTGTACATGAGGTTCGTGTGTGAGAACAGAGACGTGTGCGACCCGTGTGAAGAGATTTCAAGTGTGAGAACGTATGTGAAACTGTGGTGAGTCCGAGCGGAAGGGTCGAAGAGTTGTGTGCGGAGTGTAGTTTGTCGTGTTGTAGTGTGCATTAGTAGTAATGTTCATGTGATGTGCTTATTGGTGTGCGTGTTCTGTCAGTGACAGTGTGTAAAGCTTGTATTATATAATGCATCGTAACCTGTGTAAAGCTGTAACACCAATAATATCTTACTTTTGGTTTTTAGATTCTAGCATACTTGCAAAAAATTTATGTGGCCCTTTGATGTGTGTTGGGTCATCTCATCTGAGATGCTGACTGATTTTATGCCATTAACTGTCATCATTGACATTTTTAATCATGTTGTCAGACCTATACTGAACTTTCTATGTCATAACATGCACTGTTCCATTACATGGAATATCAAATATACTGCTTTTATAATGAAACCGTGTCCGTGTCGTGAGTTCCGTGATATTCTTTCACATCAGAAAGAGAAGTTTCATTGTCAATTATATTCTTTCACGCGGCACGCCTTATCAGAGGGAGTGATAGTATCAGAGGCTTTCAGCATTTTCGTTTCTTCTTCTTCCCTTACCATTTTCAAAGCTATTCCAGATCCATTCCAAAGCTTGAAAACAAACGGTTCCATATTTAAGGTAAGTTTACAAACTTAAATTTATATTATTGTAATTTATACAACAACAAATAAATTTGTATGGACTCGTATGTTAATTTTTTTAAGTAATTAATACTTGCATGTTAATTTTTGTAAGTAATTAAGTAATGTTAACAATTACATGTTAATTTTTTTAAGTAATTAAGTAATGTTGTATAATTATTCCCTAGGATAATTTTAATATGTTTAATGTTATTTATTTATTTTATTTCCCTTACCATTTTCAAAAGCTATTCCAGATCCATTCCAAAGCTTGAACACAAACGGTTCCATATTTAAGGTAAGTTTACAAACTTAAATTTATATTAATGTAATTTATACAACAACAAATAAATTTGTGTGGACTCGTATGTTAATTTTTTTAAGTAATTAATACTTGCATGTTAATTTTTTTAAGTAATTAAGTAATGTTAACAATTACATGTTAATTTTTTTAAGTAATTAAGTAATGTTGTATAATTATTCCCTAGGATAATTTTAATATGTTTAATGTTATTTATTATTTTATTTCCCTTACCATTTTCAAAGTTATTCCAGATCCATTCCAAAGCTTGAACACAAACGGTTCCATATTTAAGGTAAGTTTACAAACTTAAATTTATATTATTGTAATTTATACAACAACAAATAAATTGTGTGGACTCGTATGTTAATTTTTTTAAGTAATTTAAGTAATTAAGTAATGTTAAGTACATGTTACATGTTAATTTTTTAAGTAATTAAGTAATGTAATTTGTATAATTATTCCCTAGGATAATTTTAATATGTTTAATGTTATTTTTATTTATTAATATTAGGTTTTATTATCAAATTGGATTATTATTCATTAATAATAGGTTTTTTTATTATCAAATTGAATTATTATTCATTAATATTAGGTTTTATTATCAAATTTGATTATTCTTCATTAAATTGGATTATTCATTAAATTGGATTATTATCAAATTGTATATTATTCATCACCATGTTTTATATTAGGATTATTTTTTTATCAAATTGGATTATTATTCATTAATATTAGGTTTTTTTTTTATTCAAATTTGATTATTCTTCATTAAATTGGATTATCATTAAAATTGGATTATTATCAAATTGGATTATTATTCATATCACCATGTTTTATATTAGGATTATTTTTTATTCAAAATTGGATTATTATTCATTAATATTAGGTTTTTTTAATTATCAAATTGGATTATTATTCATTAATATTGGGTTTTATTATCAAATTGGATTATTCTTCATTAAATTGGATTATTCATTAAATTTTATTATTTCAAATTGGATTATTATTCAGTAATATTAGGTTTTATTATTCCATATTATTTGTATAATTACTTAAATTTTTTACAATCATTTTCATTACTTCGTATTTAATTCTTCTGTAGAATAACTTTATTATTTAGGTTCTCTTATTTTATCAAAAAATAATTGTCTAATTTTCATGAAAAATAAATATAGGTACATTTAAGATGTCAAGTGGAGTTACTAAACGTGATCCAGCTTGGGAACATGGAGACCCAATAGACGGAAACAAACATGGCACAATTTGCAAATATTGTGGTCGGGTAATGAAGAGTGGCGGAGTGACACGACTAAAGTACATCTTAGTGGATTAGATCAGCAATTAGTGGATTAGATCCAGCAAAAAATGTCCAACGATGCGATAATGTCCCCCAGAAGTGAAGGCATTCATCAGCACATTATTAAAAAAATAAAAAACAGCAGAAGGAAAAGATAACACATGGAATGGAAAATATTCGAGCTGGGCTACGAGGAGAAGTCATTGGGCAAGCGGTTGACAGTGATGATGATGACGATGAGGACGAATGTGATGATGACATGGGACCTGAAGAACAAGAACGACGCAGTTTGAAACAAGCATTACGTGCCTCCAAACAGTCAGCATGGGAAAGAGAACACCTTCATAAAATTCCTAATAGGGGACAAGGTTCCAGGACAAGTGGTGGTGCACAAATGAGACGGGGAGGCAGTCTTAGAGAATCACAACCAACACCACCAATAGCCCCAAGTTTATATAAGTCATCCAACGCACGTCAAAAGAGTGTTTGGAGTTATTTCAAGGGAGGTAATGTGAAGGAGGGAATGGGGTGTCTAATTAGCAAGTTCTTTATCTATGAAAATGTCCCTGCTGAGAAAGCATCATCACATCATTTCAAAAATATGGTAGTGGGATGTCAACAGGCCGGTGTTGGAGTACAACCTCCCACTCCTTATGAGATAAGAAACAAATATTTGGATATGGAGTATAAAGACATTGGCGAGTATGTTAACAAGTTGAGGTCAAAGTGGGAAACTAATGGTTGCACAATCATGTGTGACGGATGGACTGGGCCGACCAGATTGTCTATCATAAACTTCATGGTATACTCCAAGGGAAAGACAATTTTTTTGAAGTCTGTTGATGCTTCAGACCATATAAAGAACTACAAGTATATTTACAAATTATTGAGGGATGTAATCATGGAGGTGGGAGAGCATAATGTTGTCCAAGTCGTGACCGACAACGGTTCTGCATTTGTCAAAGCTGGAAAAAAGTTAATGAAGCATCATAATGTGTTTTGGACATCATGTGCAGCACATTGTATTGATCTCATGTTTGAGGCAATGGGGAAGAGAGCGAATGTTGCTATTGTGGTCAAAAGAGCTAGAACGATCACAAATTATATTTACAATCACGGTTGGTTATTGGCAAAGATGCGTGAATTTTGCAAAGGAGAAATCATTCGTCCAGCTACCACTCGATTCGCCACCAACTATATTGCATTAGACAACCTACTGAAGAAGAAAGCAGGGTTGAAGCAACTATTCACTAGTGACGATTGGGCCAACCACAATTTCAGCCGCTCAAATACAGGTCGTATGGTGGAAAGTATAGTGCTTGATCATGCTTTCTGGACTCAATCAGAACATGTGTGCCAACTGTTTGAACCTCTTTACAAAGTTTTACGGATCGTTGACACAGAAGTGTATCCTACTATGGGGGGTAGTATGCAGTATATGAGTTGATGCGTGTAGTGAAGGATGAATTGGAAAGAAAACATGGTGCAAGGTGGGTCATAAAGATAATTGAAGATCGATGGTATAAAACATTATACCACGATTTGCATGCAGCAGGTATAAATTATGTCATAATTTGCAATTCATTTCTTTAGTTGCATAAGTTTTATTTCTCTTATTAGAGTATGTGTTTCTTTGAACAGCATATTATTTGAATTCTCGATACCAATACAGACCCGGTGTTGGAGATGATGGTACCCTTATACGTGCTGTACATAATGTATACTCTAAATTAGACCCTGCATCACCAGCAGTTGGCCAATTTGGAAATGAGGTACACAATTACTTAAATTATAATATTAATAATTACTTTGTTGGATTAAACTAACACGATTTATTGAATTCAGCTTACATGGTTTAAAGATGCAAGAAGAACTTTTGGAGAACCAACATCAATTGATGCTCGAACAACAATGTCTCCTAGTGAGTGTAAACATATTTCACTATAAGTTTATAATAGAATTTGTTCGAGTTATTAGGCTTATCAACATTGTTTTTCATTGTAGCTGAATGGTGGATCATGTATGGGACCGATGCACCAACTGTGAGAAAGTTAGCAATCAAAGTATTATCACAAATAGCTTCCTCATCTGCTTGTGAAAGAAATTTGAGCACATTTGCATTGATACACACAAAGCAAAGAAATAGGTTGGCACATAGTAGGTTGGAAAAATTAGTTTATTGCTACTACAACATGAAGCTTCAAATTCGAGATAAGGAAGCAGAAATAGATCATGTCGACCGTGGTGACCCACTAGATGTGTTTGATATTGTTGGTGAAGATGATGATACAGAGGGTAACCAACTTTTTCAATGGATTAGACCTCTTCATTTAGATGATGATGAAGGCAACCCAGCTCCCAGAGTTGCTGAAGAAGCACGTAATGAAGGGATAAATGTAGAAAGAGTATTAGAGGAGGAGGTGGGATCTAGCAGCGCTGACTCTTTGGATGAACTTTTCCGCCCAAGACCAAGAAACACTGGAATTCCACCTTCTTCCAATCCTACACAACCACAACATCGTGCTGATACTAATGATAGCTCTAGTACAAGATCAGGAGACTCACCTACCACCGGAGGTGGGAATGATGAAGGACATAGTGGAGCTGGAGGTAGTGGAGCTGAAGGTAGTGGTGGTGGATATGGAAACTATTATGGACCACCACCTCCCGGATATATGAGCCCCTTCACTGGTGAGGCAAACTTCACGCATGCAACACAGATGATGATGACCATGGCAGTAGGCGGGCAGGACCAGGAATTGGTGCCATAGGGAAGGACTATACTCGCAGAGAAAGAGGCAAGGGGATTTTGTCAAGTCAAGAAAGATGACTCATTATCTAGAACTTCAGACTCTGTTGGATTGGGAAGTAGTATAACTATGGTTATACTCATAACCAACCATTTCCCTACCCTTCATATCCCTACCCTTCATATCCCATTCCTGTTGGGATGGAATCGAGCGACTCATGGAAACAATCCCAGCCTCAATCTTTAAATGATTTTTTCTTATGGACAACCTCAACCAATCTCGGATCCATATGGGTGGCATGTTAACAATTACATGCAAAACTATTTTGGGATTTATCATTTGATAACTACTCTTCACAATACACTCATTCTACACATAGAGATGATGAAGATAGTGAAAAATTTGAACCTCATAGGAACTCTATGTGGTACTAAAGTGTAAAATATTGTACTAATTCATTATATATAAATGATTATGGTGTGTTTAGACTTCTTTCATTAATTACTACATATTTTCTACACTCAGAATGTTTGTCAGATCGCTATATAATCAACTTGATAATGTTAAATCCATCATGCAATGCATTTCCTTCCAATTTTTTGTGATAAACTAATAGATAATTGACTAAATAAACATCCTACAAAGTTTCAATAAAAATTTCCAAGTTTTTCTTACAATTTCCGTGGTTTCCATGTAATTTTTATCGATATCGATATTATCCCGATATTTCCATCGATATTTCCGTGTTTTCGGATTACCGATATTTCCGATATTACCGATATTTAATACCTTGGTTATAATCATTTTTTTTTTTGAGAATGTTATATCCATTTAATCAATTATATTTATTTTACAAAATATTTCATGACATTCATTGTATATTCAATGTATTAACTTTCAAATTGTTATAAGGTGCCAATTGAAAAAATAATAATAATAATACTAATTTCATGATTTTGTGTCACATCCCGGCCCGGGTCCCCACCACATTCCGGGCTCGACTCCGCTGTAGCACGATATTGTCCGTTTTAGGCCCTGACCACACTCTCATGGTTTTGTTTCTAGGAACTCACATGAGAACTTCCCAGTGGGTCACCATCATGGGATTGCTCTCACGCAAACTCGCTTAACTTCAGAATTTCGATGGAACCCGAAGCTAGTGAGCTCCCAAAAAGCCTGATGCTAGGTAGAAATGGGAATATACAGATAAGGCTTACAGGATCCTCACCCCTGGGTGATGTGGGATCTTACAATCCACCCCCCTTAGGGGCCCGACGTCCTCATCGGCACACTTCCGGCCAAGGATTGGCTCTGATACGAAATTGTCACATCCCGGCCCGGGCTCCCACCACATCCCGGGCTCGACTCCACCGTAGCACAATATTGTCCGCTTTGTGTCCTGACCACGCCTTTACGGTTTTGTTTCTGGGAACTCACATGAGAACTTCTTAGTGGGTCACCATCATGGGATTGCTCTCACGCAAACTCGCTTAACTTCGAAGTTCCAATGGAACCCGAAACCAGTGAGCTCCCAAAAGGTCCCGTGCTAGGTAGAAATGAGAATATACATATAAGGCTTACAAGATTCTCACCCTTGGACGATGTGGGATCTTACATTTTGTGCATTAAATATACAAGTTAATTTACCTACCAACACAACAATAAACCTAAAACAGCTTTAGCTATTGCATATATGCTCCAATCCCTAATGCACAAATCAAAAGCTATATGTTCCACTCAATTTTTACCTACAAAATTGTCTAATTTACCTATTCCATCAAACCAAAATTTAAAGGGTCTAATTTACTTCCAAAATGGTCTAATTTACCTAAATGATTTATGTGCATTATATTACAAGTTTATTTAATTGCATACAAGCACAAACCCACAACATTCAAACATTATCTAATATCACTAATTTTTATTGGACTAGATAAATTAATTTAAATGTAGGTAAATTAGTATAAATATTTTATAAGTAGGTCAATTAATTTATATGTAGGTAATTACATGATTCAAACAATTTCTTTTTGTCATACGAGATGTGTCTAATTTTTTTAATATGGTAAATTAATTTAGGATTATTATATTAGCACCCCACAAATTGTTGAATAAACCTCACATACTTAATACATCCCACATTTGCTTTTTCAATTAAAAATTATTTTAATACACCACACTTCCTTCCTCATAATACCCTCACACCCCACATTCTTAATATACACCTTACATTTTCTACATACACCCCACATTTTTTATATACCCCACATTTCTCAAATCTTATAACACTCATTTTTAATTTTGCCGAATGATTTCAAACTATCTGAACGTTAGTTTGCCAAATGATTTCAAATTGAATGATTTGAAAAAATGTTTAGGTTCATTTGAACGTTTTTTAATAACAATAATAATGATTTCAAAGCTTTCGAAACACTGATTTCGTGTTTCATTCATCAAAAATAATTTTTCTCAATCAACATGTTTGTAGTTTCATTGCTTATGGTTTTATTCAACAATGGAGGGTGGGAGGGATTTTTGATAGTTGAAGTAGATAAATAATACGTTAAAAATGATTTGGGGTGTATTTATAAATTTTTTATTATTTTTTAAACCTAATAAGGTCAAAATTGTCATTGCATAGTAGAGTAAATAAGTCATTAATATTAATTTTTAATGTGGGGTGCATTTAACATTTTGTGGAGTGCTAATATAAAAAGCCTTAATTTATATATGTTATCAATATTTATGATACAAGAAAGTTAAATATCCATATGGATTTAATTGCTCATCATAATTAGGATGAGTAATAACATTTATTAACCAAATGAGGATTTTGTGGCATAAGTTGTAAATGTGTTGTAATAGTTGGTTATATATTTGTCGACATGGCAGTCTATTTGAAATTTGGGAATGTTTAAAATTAGGTGGGTTTTTGTTTGAAAAATAAGAGTTTCAACGGCTTATATCTAAAGAATTTTTTGTTTTTTAACCAACAATTTGTTTTGCCTTTTTTTGACCTAAGTGTATACAATACTTCTTTTACAAAAAAATAAAAAAAAATAAAAATGCATATATATATAATAACTTTCTTAACTTCGTTTTCCCTTGTTTCATGTTGTCAACAAAGTTTCATTTTTATTTTTAACTAATTAAGATATGATGTCAAAATAATGTATAAGTTTAGCATCTCTCCAGTTGTTCGTACCTTTATAACTTACATATAGGTACACAAGTTTGATTTATATTTCATTTTGTTTGCAAATTCTTAGGTACGAGTCAAAGTTTATCACAAAAATTGTTAAGGTGATTGGTGATAAGCTAATTCGCACACCCTTGAGTGTTGAATCCAACTTGATTGGAATCCAATCTCGAGTCAAACACATCAATTTATGGTTACAAGATGGATCAACTGATGGTATAGTTGTTGTGTATGGGATGTCTGGAATAGGGAAGACAACCATTGCTAAATATGTTTACAATTCAAATTTCACAAGTTTTGAAGGAAGCAGCTTTGTTGAAAATATCAGAGAAACGGCAAGTCAACCGAACGGGTTAGTTCAAATACAAATGCAACTTCTTTATGATATTTTGAAGGGGAAAAAGGAGAAAGTACACAACGTTAGTGAAGGGATAAGTAAGATTGAAAAAGCCATAAGCTCTAGAAGAGTTCTTCTTGTTCTTGATGATGTAGACCATATGGACCAATTAAATGCAGTACTACGAATGAAAGATCAGTTTTATCCCTGGAAGCAAAATAATCATAACAAGGTGTGAAAGGTTGCTAAAGGCACATCAAATTACTAAGGTCCACGAAGTTGAAACTTTGGATTACTATGAATCATTGGACCTCTTAAGCTGGCATGCATTTGGCCAGGATCCCCGCATGGAATATTCAAAAGAGCTAGTGCAACAGAGTGGAGGACTTCCATTAGCTCTTCAAGTTTTGGGTTCTTCTCTGTTAGGTGAGAGTATGGATGTGTGGACAAGTGCATTGGAGAAGTTAAAAGTTATTCCTAATGACGAAATCATGAAGAAACTGAGAATAAGCTATGACAGTTTACAAGATGACCATGACCGGAAATTATTCCTCCACATTGCTTGTTTCCTAAAAGAAAGGGACAAAAACTACATTGTTCGAATACTAGATGGATGTGATTTCTTTACAACTGTTGGCATTCAAAATCTCATTGATAGATGCTTGGTGAAAATTGATAAAGACAACAAGGTGAACATGCATAACCTGATTCGTGACATGGGAAGAGATATAGTTCCTCTAGAATCTGGGAAACGTAGTAGATTATGGTGGCATAAGGATTCTTTTTGAAGTATTGAGAGAAAAGAATGTAAGAAACATGCCTTTTATGTCTTTATATGTTTTTCGCTTCTTGTGAAAAATATCCATACTAATGTTGTTCCATTTTTTGTCCTTAGGGTACACAAACAATCCAAGGTCTTGTTCTGGACATGCATGGGAATCCTGCACACAGTCCAATAAACACAAATGAGACAATCTTTGAAACCAATGCATTTGAAAGGATACACAAATTACAACTACTCCATCTTAGATGTGTACCGCTGGAGGGATGTTATGCAAATTTTCCTACAGGATTAAGATTGTTGTGTTGGCTTGAATTTTCTTTGGATTCTATACCCATTGATTTTCCTCCGGAGTGTCTAATTGTTCTTGAAATGCAATATAGTAGCTTGAGAGAAGTCTGCAAAGGAACAAAAGTATGTTACTCTGTGCATCTCAATTCCTTTCCCTTCTTTTTCATTTTAAAATTTTGATTCGTTGACTAATTGCATATGTTAGAATTAACTCCCACAAATTTTATCTCTTTTTTCTTTATTTTAATTTTTTTTTCTTGCAGTTTCTTCCATCATTGAAGATCCTTGATGTGAGCCATTCTCATGGCCTTAGTCAAACCATGGACTGCTCATACTGCCCCAATCTAGAGGAATTGATTCTTGTAGATTGTGGAAGTCTGCTTGATGTTCATGAATCCATTGGAAAACCTAGAGAGACTGTGTACTTGAATCTGGAGGATTGCAAGAACCTTAGGATGCTTCCAAAGAACATGTGCATGCTAAAATCACTTGAGACTCTCATTTTATCTGGGTGCTCAAATCTTGATGAGATGACGAAGAAGATGGAATCTTTAAAAATGCTCGAAACAGATGGAATTCCAAGAAGTGAATTATGGCCTGGAAGAAGTTCAAGTATCTTGACTTATTTGCCATGTTATTTAGTAAAGTTAAGTCTTCGTAGCTGCAATCTTTCTGATGATGCCTTTGCTACGGATTTAAGTAATCTATCCACAATACGAAGCCTAGACTTAGATAGTAATCCAATTTGTAGCCTACCTGTTTTCATCAAAGGTTTGACGAAGCTTGAGATGCTCTCTTTTAATTACTGTAGGAGGCTGGAATCACTTGTGGGGTTGCCGAAAACTGATGCCGTTTTTGTACTTGGTTGCACGTCATTGAAAAAAGTAACATATCAATCCTATGGGTTGAGAGCGTTGACCCATTCGGATGAGAACCAAAACGTAATTGAGGGCGAGTACTATGACAACTTAGAACAAACTGGAAGAGTTGACGTGGAAATGAGGAAACTTTTCAGTTTGCACAACTTGGAAATGTGGAAACTTTTCAGTTCGCAAAACTTGGAAATGAGAGAACTTTCCAGCTTGCAAAATTTTAAACAAGTTGATTGGGTTTGGAGTCCCGTTCAGGTGCCTCTCTCTCTCTCTCTCTCTCTTATAGGAAAAGTTTGACTAATATAGTCGTTTCTGTGTCATTCATACAGGGACTTGATCAACATGGTATATATAGCATATTTTTTGCGGGGAATGTGATTCCTGGCCGGTTCAGCTATAAAAGTACAAATTCCTCAATATGTTTTATTGTGCCTTCTCTTTCAAGTCACAAAATTCGGGGCTTAAATATTTTTGCTACCTAAGCAAACAATGATTGCGATTGGGTTTATTTGTCTAATCCATGTATGAGTATTGAAGTGAGCAACAAGAGCAAGGGTATGAAATGGATATATGGCCCACGATTCTACCGTCACCGTTTTGGAAGTGAGGGAGGAGAAGACATGACATGGTTGAGCCATTGGAAAAAGGACAATGAAACAATAATATTAGAATGTGGAGATGAAATGGTTGTTTCCGTAATGAAGACGGAATATAATGAGTTCTTTCGGGTAAAAGGAATTTGGTGTGGAGCTTGTGCAAGAGCACCAAGACAAGATGAGTACCCAACACAACACCACTGCAGATCCTAATGATCCATTTGTCATCGGTGGAGATTTGTCACCGCTAGAGATGTATCAGGATTTTACTTCTTTTGCTGGTTCAGTGAAGCACAAATGAAAAATACTGATTTTTGTAGGCCGAAATGGTTGAATACCCTCATCATGGACTCAGGTAAATCATGCTCCATTAAAGCACTTGGGGTTCTGCCCGTATTCATTTCATTCGAGTTTTCGCTAAATTTTATGTTATTTGTATGTTTTTCAGACAAAGAAGAAGAGCAACAGAACGATCTTGATCACAAAATTGCAGCGGCGAGTGCCAGAGGCAATAACTGCCATGTGTTAGGAAGAGGGGGCTAGTCACTTCTCTGAAGAATTGGTGACAGTAGATACAAAGTTCGAATTCAGAACTGAGCCATGTTAACCGCTTGGGATATGAAAGACCCTTGCTATTAGATATCAAGTTCAAATGTCTTCAGCATCATCAAATATCGTGTACCCCATGGCTTTAGCGTTGCGAAATTTTTCTTCCCTGCCACTGATTGCCTACGACCTCATGCAACCGAAGATATACACATGGTTATATGCATGTTGTAAATGAGGAAAAAATAATAATACTTTTACACACTGTAAGGGAAGGACTTTGACATAGGCATCTTTACTAACACTGGCAAGAATCAATTCTTTGAATTTGGGGGAAAAGATTTCGGCACGGGGGAAAGCAAGAACATCCGCTTTGCTTATTAAGTGTCCAAAGTTTCGGATCTTAATTGTCATTTGCATCAAAATTGTGTAAATTACATAAATATCAGTACAACAAATATTAGCCTTGCCTACACTACGGAAGCTGGTTTTTGCTTCTTCAACCCGAACAAATTATTGAGGTCAGGAAGCATCGGAGGAGGAACGGCCATAGTCTCTGGGGCCATGAAATTTACTATCTTCTCGTGAACATTGTACCTGCAAAAGCATAATACAATAAGCCTTCAACAATGTGGCCTAGTTTGCTTAACAGATGCTCCAAGATATTCCAAAACAAAATCATAGCAGTTTCACATAGGGAATCGAAGAATCTATTGATACCTTATCTTGCGACTCTTAGAGGCTCTTCTGTCAACAATCTTCCTCTTCTTTGTATGCAACTTTTTCAAAGAATAAAAGGCTGTCTCTGAGGATAATCAAATAGTGCAAAATCAGAATCAATAACAATATGCTGGCAATAAAGGTCTTAATTGTTAGCAGGAATAACTATGATAGCGCGTTCCATTTTTTAAGTTACAAAAACTTGAATAATAGAAGTTCAGGATCGACTAGGTTCCAAGCCCACTATAACGAAGACAATAGCTGCAGATACAGATCCAAAACAGAAAATTAACAAGGATATCCAGCATCACTTGGGCGTATACAATCATAAACAATTTCAAAAGCCACAATTTTTAAATGCAATCTGATTGTGTTTTGATTTACCGGAACTCTTACAGATTTGGATAAACCGTATATCACATTCAAATGCAATCATGTATTACGTATGAGATGCCCTAATAATTTTACCAGAAGATGCTGGGTCAATTGTCTCAAAAAATTCTTTCAGTAACTGCTGGTAAAACTCAGAGTCATCCAAAAGTTCAGGGTCACCATCAGCTTGTGCACCAGCTTCAGATTGTGTCTCCTATCAGAGTGAAGGAATAATAAAGAAATTTTTTAATTAAAAGATACAACCAAATCTGCAGATGATGAGTATTATTAAATAATCACAGGTGGCGTGATTCATTCTTATAGCTAAGGAACAGATTCATCAAATAAAATCGGGGCCGTCCAAAATGAAAATTGAAGTAAACACCACAAAAGACACAAAAAATTGTTCAAATATGTTATCAAATTAACAGAATGCATCCTTCCTCAAACAATGAATTTGTACCTCGTTTGAGAATTAAAATAGCACATAGGAAATTTTAAAATCCATGGGACATTTAAGTGCAACGAATTTATAGATGAGCCTCAGATTTGAATAGAATTCTAGTTAACCAATTATATGCAGAACAGTAGGATTACCTCCCCCTTTGCAGTATTTTTCTCCTCAGGAACCTGCACATCCATTTAAAAATTAAGAAGAAATCTCTTTGAGCCTGCACAAGAAGCTTGGGAAGTGTAAAATTTTCAATTTTTTCAATTTAGATGTAAGAGTTTATATCTTACAGCGCCAAATACAGAAACTGCTGATTTCCTCATCTGCATCTGCCTAACCATTCTGCTAGGATCTCTCATATAAGAAGCAACTTGTTCACTAATATTCTGCAATTGGAAAGGATAAATGAATTCATGTTGAATATCTCGCAAGGGATGGCACAAGTCCGATCATAGGGGAACGCATGGTTACAATTTAATTGTAGGGCCAGACCTGATTAAAAGCATGCAGTTTGCTTTTAATAGCAGCAGCACCTGTGGTCACCTCTGTCTTCCTCTGCCATTTATTGATGGATTTGTCTCTGAAGGTAGCTATTCTACAAGATAAAATGTGACAGGTTTAGTTAGACCAAGTAACCCACATGGAAATGCATACAATAATGAAAAGTTGAACAACATAGCAGAACAAATTTCTAGAAATCATGCAAGAGAAGTTGACGGAGCATGACTACAAGTAGAAGATTTTTTATACCAGAACTGCCCTACATCTCAAAGTAAACATATGGCAACATAGATATTTTACAAGTATGATTTACAAAGTCATTTCATGGTTCTTTGCCAGCCTTTTTGGATAACAAACAAATTTACTTTAGTGCCTAATGGAATTTCAATGTCAGAAAACTATAGACGGGTAAATTGCATATGAAACAGTTGAGACAAAATAACATAACAGGCTGATGTATTAACTGATAAAAACTATATATTGAAGTATACCAAAGGTTAGATACTATCGTATTGAAATACAGCAATATTAGTAAGGTACTTGAATCTGCCATTACGAGAATTTTAAACAATAAAACAGAAAAATTCCACATTTCCTTTTGCTGGAGCAGTGAAATATGGCATGACGAAGAAAAAAAATATTTCAGTTTTATACAAGTATTGATAGACTTCAACACAAGAGCATATGTTGTTAGTAGAACATAATTCTTCTCAGAATATCTTAAGTACAATCTGAGTACCTCGACAGCAACTGAGAAATCCGTGACCAATCCTCATCACCATCACCGTCAATGTTCTTAGATGAGTCTGACTTCTTAGATTGTCCAGATTTACCTTCAGAACAGGATATTTATTAGGAGAAGCACTGCATGAACATTAAAGTGCAAACAGTACAAACTAGGACAGTCGATTAGACCAAAGTAGCCCAAAAGCCCCTCTTTTTTTTGTTTTTTTTTTGTTTTTTGCTTAATCAGGCTAAGGTTTATACGAGATCAAGCAGGAAAGATTAGTCCTGGGGCAGATTTCAAATCTGGCTTCATCTTGGCTATGCTCAGATCAACAAAGCAAGACCCAAATGATTTAGCTTCGATGCTTTGTACTTTGGGATGAGCTTGGGCAAGGCTCAGCTTAATCCATTCCTCTTGATTGACACCCTTACTCTCTTAATAATAACTCAGTACCAGCATAGCAAACCTTACACATACTGGCAATTCTTATCACGCCGATAGCAAATGCACAACAAAAATAGAGAGCCAATTGTATTACAAGATAAATATAATAGTATGATAAATGTAGTTTGCACATACTATCTGTTGCTTGAACGATGGATGGGTTCTTCTCAAGTAGAGCCTGTAACAAGAAAAAATGGCATGATGTGATAAATTTTAGCATAATGTCAATATTAACAAATCGTAATAATTTATATTATATTACCACAAGGTATGAAGCTAAACCACAGACCAAGTAGTACTAGGTAGACAAGAAGTTTTTATGACAGCCATACCTCTTGTAGTTCTGCTAGAGAATCCAAAATTTGCTTTGATGAGTCAACTAGATCAGAATATGCTGTACTGACACCCTGATGTGAATCACAAAATAAAGACCTAACTGGCTCCTGCAGACAACCTCTCGGGTAAGAACACAATATCTTAACATGTCAAAAAGCTACAAAAAAAGAAGGGGGAAAAGCAAAAGCGACCTGTGGTAATCTATTTGAATTTGAGAATGCTTTCTGAAGCAAGAATCTGAACTCAAGAGCTTTGTCCCAAAGAGCCTTCAAGAAAATGAAAAAAAAAAAAGCATAAAAAATGAGTAAAATAAACATCGATCAGACAATAATCTGCTACATAAATATTTTTTGTCAACTTTAAGGCGAGGCATAAAAAGAAGCTCTAATCAAGGAGCAATAATTTCACGATGAAAATAAAACCTATTTCATGGATATTACAAGAGCTATTATCTTGAACAACGCACCTTTTGGTTCTTCACTGCTTGACCTTTAAGAAGATCTTCGTCCTTATGACGCTTTAGATTCTTTAAAATATCTCTGCATGGGAAGATGGAATAAACGATGAACAAAATTAACTTCATACGTCCGCCTATACCTATGTATAGATGTCTGTTCCTTCCTTTTATCTCGAACTCAATAATTGCAGACGCATGTATAACTCCATTTTATCCTTTCATAATAACTAAATTAAATAGATACTGAAACTTAGTGGCGAGCTACAATGAAATGGCACTATTATTGAATGACTTCTGTAACCTAATATCAAATTTTGTCACCAACCTACGACTGCTATGCATATTATCTCCTACACACATTATTTAGTTTTACATCGTCAGTCTAGTTAAGCATCACAAGTTTATAATACAAAATAAAAGGATTGTGAACAGAAGTCTCTTACTGCTCCTGATGACGAAGATTCATGTATTCTTTCTCGAGTTCTTCCATCTCGGCATCTTTATTATCGTTTTTCCCATCACCATTTTCCTCTTCCCCATCTACTTGTCCATCTTCTTCCTCATTTTCTGATTCTTCTTCCTCCTCCTCACCGTGGTGCTCATCATCAAAGTCATCCTCTTCCTGCTCCATCTACATCACAAATCATCAATTAACAACACAATCACCAAAACAAAACCAGATAACTACCGAAACTGAACAACAGAATTACAAATTAAACTAACATTCAGCTCATCGCTGTCGAAATCACCATCGTTCTCAAACTCACTGTCACTGTGACGAGCCTTCCTCCCCATTGTGACGCCTGACCCCTAGAAATTCAAACACCCAAATATTTATACAATTTACTTCCACAAAGATTTTAGCTTTGGTGTGACATACAGTTTCATTTCAAATATTCAAACTTCATCAATCCCGAATTCTAGAATAGATGAAATTTCCTTGTTTTATTTGAAGCGAAACAAATGATATGTATACAGAAATATATATATGAGCCACGAAAAACCCCAGTCCTTTTCATAGGATTTCGTAGAATCCGGCACAGGAGATATATATATATATATATATATATATATATAGAGAGAGAGAGAGAGAGAGAGAGAGAGAGAGAGAGAGAGAGAAACCCTAACCTTTTGAAGCTGAAAGAAGGAGGAGGGAAGAAGGAAGACAGCGAGGGTTGAAGAGTGGCGGAGACAAGTCCGCGAAGCAGCGGCGGCAGGGTTTGGGTTTTGGGGTTTAAGCATTGATACGGAATTTACCGGGTTGGAATTACCCGATTCTAAAACCCAAACCCGGCTGCTAAATGTAGTTCCCAAATCTATCGATTATTTCCTTTCCTCTTTCGATCAAAAGACATTTGGGCCTGAAATGGCCTTCGTGGGCTAGTTAGGCTATTATTAGACTGAGTCAGGCTTATTTGATTTGCATTTTGTTGCACACTTAATAAGGATGACTTATATACTACCACAATCTAGTAGTAAATCTCTTGATTCAGCAAGTGTCAAATTTTATATTCGACTTATGTAGATGGCTAATTCAATACTAAATTACGATATTTGACTCATTGTGCATCTAATCCAAACCCAGCACCTCTTAAAATATAATAGAGACTTACCTAAAATACCTAAAATAGTGGTGAAAGATTGGCAGATGTAACCCAAGCCAATTTTATAACAGATTCCCCCTAATCTCTCCCATCTCCTCCAATCCCTCAATTATGGCCATATGTCTTTTGTTTTGTGGATTTGGAATGAAATTGACCTAGCACCCTTGTTTCTTGTTAATTGTTCTCGCATTCAAAACAAAACACCACAATTTTCATAAAGTGAGTACCAAGTGTAGGGCTTTAATATGCTCGAAACAATTTGAATCGCCTTTTTTTTTCTTCTTTTTTTTTTTTTTGCTCATCTAAGCTCGATTTTCAATGAAATGAGTTGAACTCAAACAAAATAATAGACTCGTTAATGAAATAAGTCGATATAGAGCTTTGCTATGTTCAACTCATAAGGCTAGTGAATTGCTTGTATCTTTTTTATCAGATAGCTCGAATTTGGTTCAAGCTCGACTTGTTCGTTAAAGCTTGGCTCATAAGTGTACCTTATCTCTATTACAAAATCCAACGATACTCTTATTTGAAAAATATTCAAATAATTATTTATACCTTATCCCGATGATTGATATTAGACCCAATGGAATGTGGGGTACTAGGATTAATTAGAGCAACTCCACCCTACTAAGTCAATTACTATTCGGGCTATTGAGTAAAGGCAATTACTGCTTAGTGAACAATAACTGCCCATGTGCATCTACACTTCTAAAATATATTTAAAAAACTAATAAGAAGATAAATATATGTTTAATTTCGAATAAAATTTTTAACTGATCTCTTCACGTGTTATGATTCTGTAATTTGTAATTATTTTTATAATTTTTAATATTTATTTTTTACCTAATTAATATGAACCGTTTATTACATTTTTTTTATAATCCAACATCCCATAAAGTGCCACATGGGCCACAACAGCTAATAAGTGTTATTTTTTCAATTTTTTCCTTTCTTTTTTAATTTTTTGTTGAAAAATTTGAACTGTAGGATAGAAATCTTATGCAAATCGAATGGTTGAAGGCCCCCAACATTACAGGGTGGGTTGGTCCACTCATGCTCACGCGTGTGTGAAGCCCACGCACCTAGCCCAAAATAATAATAACGTGGTGACATCACGCTCCCTAAATGCTGGATTGGACGATTTTGGCCTGAGTGAGTAGTCGTGCCTCCATCTTTTTACTGTAGCCCAACTTGTTTAGGTTGGGGTGGAGGTCAATTTGTTAGTTTTGGTAGATTAAATCACCCAATCCTTCTTGCAATTGGAAGGGGGTTAAGTTGCCTCATGGGTGGTGCCATCCACACACCTATTTTTACCGTTCACACACTATTTTTAATTTCTGATCGTCGGATTGAATAACTTAAAGAAAGTCAAGGAACAAAAGTTAACAAAATTGTACATTATAAAAGATATAAAAAAAATGATGTGTAAATAGCATTACCTTTAATTATATGTTACATAAATAGTTAAATATAGTATAGTATTAGTGTCTTAGCTCCAACATGAAAATTCTTGAAATCCAACACTACCACACGTGCATGACCACCCAACCTATCATTGAAGTATTTTATATACAGGAGAAATAGAGCTAAAAATTTAAGCAGCAATTTGATTTTGATTTTGATTTGGGCACAAGCAACCGCATTTGCACACGTGTGTCTTGCTGAAGCTTGTTCCTTGCATTTTCATGGTTCCAATCAATTTTTTTAGATCAAATAACTACTCTGTCTTAATCATTCTATATAAGGGAGCTTTAATTGAAAAAGTTTCACGTAACAAATTTGCAATGAAAAACACATTAATGAATGATTTTTAATGAAAATTTTGACGAAACATTTGTCGTTTTTATGAAGAAATAATTGTTGATGTCAACTTTAACTTAATTGTGATACTGATACTGCGTCTAATCTTTAACTTATTAAAATACAGCTACTGCCTTTTGTTCTTGTAACTAAAAAAGTTCATTAAGTGTGTTTAGATAAATCACAAATTTGAGGCCATTTTCATTATTTGTTCTTTATGTAAATGATGTTAAATGAAACGAGAGCATGGAAAAGAAAAGGAGTTTTTTTTTTTTTTTTGTCAGACATAAACTTCATTTATAAAAGAAAATGTTAGAAAAGATAAAAATGATGTTAAATGAAACGAGAGCATGGAAAAGAAAAGGAGTTTTTTTTTTTTTTTTTGTCAGACATAAACTTCATTTATAAAAAAAAATGTTAGAAAAGATAAACATTAAAACAAGTTACAACTAGGTCAAGTGGACATAGAAATCCAAGCAAAACATATGATGACCCAATTAAAATCAGCCATTGCCACAAGTCATTACCGCCACATCCACGATGGACCTCACCATTCTATCGCTCGAGTCATCTAATTTTCTGTCAACACCAACAAAACACAATCACCCCAAAACAGAAACACAAATACAAAGTAGCTCCATTTGAAGGGTAAAAAAAAAATATTCCTTAATTTCACAACATTAAATATCACAACTAATACATAAAATTGTATCTAAAAAAACTCAGTCGGCAAAAAAGTCAACCAACACCAACAACCATATCCACCTGAAGACTCGTAAAGGAAAAATTTTGATGCCAACAAAGCAAATAGACAAAACACCATTAGTGCTGTAGAAAGAGGCGGCACAAAAACCTAAACCACCAAAGTGGTTTTGCACACATTCATCCCGATAATTAGCTCCCAACCTATAATTATATGCCATAATTAGAAAACTTATGTTCTTGCAATTAAAAAAAAGTTCGTTAAGTGATTTTAGATAAATAAAAAAAATTGAGTCCATTTTCATTAGTTATTCTTTATGTAAATGATGTTAAAAGAAAAAATAAAATAAAAAAGGAAAAGAGTCACTACAAGACAGTAGTTCATCTACAACGATAATTCTATCACGAGCTTTATGAGCCTATTATAAAATGTACAAATTTACCATAGGCATGATAAACACGTGGTTAATAATAATTTTTTACCACGTGCAAATCTTAACCTGTTGTAAAATTTTAATTAAAGATCATGCGTAGAGTTGCACGTTGTAAAAACAATAAGCCACCATGGGTAATGTGATAGAAATGTTATCTTTCATTTCATAAAGAATAAGATTACATCCTAGGTGTATATATACTAGTGACACACCCACTTGTGTTGCTAACTAATTACATCATCAATTAACTAATCACAACAGTAACTAACTAAACATTAGCTAATTACAAAGGCTATTTTAACCACCTTATAACAAACTCATTCATTTACAAGCTTACCCTTATTATCCCCCCTCAAACTGAGCGAAGGTAGCCGTAGAGAAAGTTTGCTTCTGAGGAATAGAAATCGTTGCTTGGATAATGCCTTAGTACATATATCTGCAACTTGATCCTTTGTGCAAACAAATAGAACCTTGACTTGGTTGGCAAGCACTTGTTCGCGGATGTAATGATAATCAATAGCCACATGCTTAGTCTGTGCATGAAAAACTGGATTTCTAGTTAATGAAATAGCTGAAATATTGTCACACCAAAGCTGTGGACAAGAAGGAAGAACAAGTCCAACATCAACTAAGAGTTTACAGATCCATGTCAACTCAGCTGCAGTGTTGACAAGTGATCGGTATTTAGCTTCTGTGGATGAGCGAGCCATAGTTGGTTGCTTCTTGGCACTCCAGCTAATGAGAGAGTCACCTAGGTAGATACAAAAACCACCAGTAGATTGATGATCAAGACTACATCCTGCCCAATCAGCATCTGAGAAAGCAGTGATAGTGAGAGGTTTAGAACACTTTGGAAACCATAAACCAAGAGACATTGTGCCTTTGAGATATCAAAGAATACGCTTGACAGCCTAAAAGTGAGATTAGTGTGGATGCTGCATGAATTGACATACCGGATTCACAACAAATGACAAATCTGACATGGTCCAAGTTAAATACAGAAAGGCACTAACTAGGGACCTATATTTTGGAAAGTCATGACCTAATTTCGTGGTGTTGAGAGGTGTAACACAAGGCTTGAAACCTTCCATGTGAGCCTTGGTGAGAAGATCCAAGATATATTTTTGTTTGGATAGAAATATACCTGATGAGGATCGATGAACTTCAATACTAAGAAAGTAATGAAGTGGACCAAGATCCGTAACAAGAAATAAGCCATTGAGCTGAGAAATGATGGCTTGACAAAGTGGAACATTAGGACCAATGACAATAATGTCATCAACATACACCAATATGAAAACCAAAGCTGGATCCCTTTTGATAAATAAAGAGTGATCATTCTATGAACCTGTGAATCCAAGAAACTTTAAGGCAGTTGTCAACTTCTCATAACAGGCCATGGGGGCTTGCTTCAACCCATATAGGGTTGAGGTTGAGTAGGATCTTCAAACCCAGGTGCTTGTATCATAAACACATATTTAGTTAAGTTTCCATGCAAAAATGCATTACTAACATCAAGTTGGTTAAGAAATCAATCAAATTTTGCAGCCATAGTGAGGAGAATCCTTATAATGACAGGTTTAGCAACTGGACTAAAAGTCTCAGTGTAGTCAAAGCCTTGTTGCTGATGAAAACCTTTGGCAACAAGCCTGACTTTATACCTGTCAATAGTACCATTAGGTTTGTGGATTTGATCCTGAAATATCCGTCATTCCGC